CATGTGTCTAACCACTCGATCCAGTGCTGCAAGACAGATGCACTCAGGCGGGCTCAAACACGTGACCTAGGGGAATCACGACTCACAATTCATGTGCCAAGCAAAGAGTCACAACCTATATATATGAGAGAGAGAGAGAGAGAGAGAGAGAGAGAGAGAGAGAGAGAGAGAGAGAGAGAGAGAGAGAGAGAGAGAGAGAGAGAGAGAGAGAGAGAGAGAGAGAGAGAGAGAGAGAAATTTCATGAAAATAGAATTAGGAAAAGACTTTAAGGGGAAAAATTTATTCATTTAAAAATTTTGTGCCAAAATATAATATCTTTTGAAAAGCTTTAAATCTAACACAATATTGGATTTGATTATAGCTCCTTATGTAGTTTGCATTGACGATGGAGACCAATCAAACAATCAAAGATTTCACTTTTTATCATCCCCCCTCAAGATTTGTTATACGAATCATCAAAAGACATCTTTGAAAGTTTTGTAGACAGAGCAAATTGACAATGGCTTTTTGGTAATGTTGATTAAGCTGGAACTTCAATCGAATAACCATCACTTATATAGTTTAACTGTCAACTTTTTCATTGACAAAATGACAATCACTTTTATTGTACATTTATGAAATGTGGGATTAGTAGCAAAGTGAGCAGCAACATAATTGTGGAAAAATATAAGAGCTAATCGTCCCTATGTAGAAGTCCTTTCAAAGCTATTTATGCATAATAAACTCACAAGCGGTGGTGGCTAGAGCAAGACATTCTACTTCAAACGAAGGTTCTTGAAATAGTGATTTGTTTCATCACCTTCCATAATATTAGAGTCTTCCGTTATAATGAAAACCCTATGAAAGATTACATTGTGTTTGGGCTTCATCCCAAGTTCGCGTTACATAAGCTTTCGAGTTGTAAATACGATTTAGTTGAGAAAAAACAATTCTCACTACAAGTGTTTTTTATCTTAATAAAAGATGGGCAACTTAGTTGTGTGGTGTTTGTGATTGTGCTAAAAACGGCTTATTTTTTTAACAACAAAGTTATTTATATTTGTACTTAGGTAATATAAATCATTCTTGATATTAGGTTGTGATAATGAGTTTCTATTGGTATTGGTAAACCTCCACTAGTGTTATTGTCCTTTTTGAGATCCATTGAAACCCTAACTAGTCTGGTACCTAAGAATCTAAAATTCTTAAGATGTAATTTATAGTGATACTAAACAAAAGTGATTCTTGCACCAGTACACATGATTTTAATACCGAAAATTTTTTAGCTCACCCAAGTGTTGCAGTTTGAACTAGTTACAAAGAAAAAAACTCGAGTGAATTGATGATATTCATGGAAGACCGATTATGACTATATCATCGACATATATTAACAACCTATCTAAATAAGAATATGATCCCTTGTTGAATAAGAAATAATCAGAGTTTGATTGGGAAAATCCAAACTTGGGGGGCACTTAAAAAAATTTTGCATACCATTGTTGTAAGAATTGTTTGAGTCCATAAATGCATTTATGTAATTTGCAAACCAACTTCTTTTCTCCATGGTTTTCTTCCCAATGAATATTGTTGCATTGTGATAGCTCTATGTAAATTTCTTCAAGAAGGTCACCTTGAAGAAAGTCATTATTATTGTTGAGTTGATCTAAGAATCAATTTTTGGTAGCATGTAATGTATAACCGTTTCACAGTCGCCATCTTGGTAACATGAGAAAAAAATTACAAATAAATCTTCTCCCTCTTATTATTTGTGGCCCTTTAAAACTAATCACACTTTGTGTGTGTTTCATATGTTGTCAAAGTTATATTTACTCTGGTTTACAGATAGCGAAGAGTTTTCCTGGCGGTAAAGGAATAACAATTTAAGTTTTCTTAGATCAACAATTTGTATTCATAAATTCATGAAAATTTGTCATCGAAAGGAATAACAATTCAAGTTTTCTTAGATCAGCAATTTGTATTCATAAATTCATGAAAATTTGTCATCCGGGAATGTTGGCAACTCGATAATAGTTTTGTGATTTGAAATAAATAGATACACCTAGCAAAGTCTCTCACATGAAGAATGACCAATAATATTTATCCTCAACCTGAAGAATGACCAAGGAAATTTGATAGGTTGAAATTCTTTATTTAGCTAATAAATCATCTTGTCACGAAGTTGATAGCTTAAACATCTCCAAACAAAGTTTATCATAACATTTCTAATCATAGATACATAATATTATTGCTTGAAAATTTTCCTTGTAATTTTTTTCCTATCTAAGTGATTGCTACACTCATCTTAGTGTATTCTTTAATAAATAGTTCACATTTTTGTGGTCCAAGATAGCTAAGGTTGATGTTCTCATAAGACTTTATGAAAATTGCCTTCAATGACAATATATTTTGTCAACTCTTTCAGTCATGAATTAGCTTGGCCTTTGCCTTCTATCACTACTCATTGGAAGAGATAGTTGTACGTTGGATTGAACTAGTACTCAATTTGATCCACATACTTGACCTCATTTTAAGGTTCTATTAATGGCTTATGAAACTCCTAAGAAGAGGAGTCATGAAGATTGTTATATTTTATTATCATATTAGTTAGTTAATTTTCTTTTATCATAATATTCATTTTGATAAATTTCTCAAGTTCAATAATCTCAACTAATACATTGTAAGATACTTTCAATTTGTCGTATCCTTGACTTCACAGTTCCTGAAGGCTCAACGACATTTGGTGATTTCTTAACGACCAAAGTTTCAGCATTGATAGATGGTTCTACGGCCAACCCAAACCAATAATTAGATAGGATATCTTTTTTGAAAGACTGATACAAGAGAGACTGATATTGAAATTTCATATTCAATCTCCTTACTAATATACATTTCTCTTTTTTCTTCTTCTTTTATTTTATGTATTCCAACTCCTCTCATTTAAGCCCTTATCCACGAAGAAATATCATTCGGACGGCCAACCATCAGGTGTCACGTCGCCACACATCTCATCGGCGGGCGACGTGGTGCCTGGTGGTTTGTCGTCCAGACAGAATATTTTTCACTTATCCACAAGGTGTGGGACCACTACTAATTCGGGATCCAATATTCTTTATACTACAATTTAAACATAACTTACATGGCAAAAGATATCAAATTGGCACATTGCTTTATTGGGAAAAATATGTCAATATCATATTAAAATATCCACTATCCTCATTTAAACAAATTTCATTTATAAGGAAAAAAAAATATATTTTTTTAATGTGCTTCATTAATTCATCTCTCTATCCAAAATATATATAAATAAGAAGACATTTATGATTCTTCTCGAAATAATTATCAAATCGTGAAGATGAAATATTAAATCATGGCGTGCTCGAATAAAAAATACAAGAAGTTTTTGTGCCCTCAACCTTTTGATTTTGCCATAAAATACTAAGAAAAATAAATCATTGTTATTAAACTTTCTTAAGATTACATTTAGGGCCGTAAACGAATCGAGCTTGAGCGAGCTCAGATTTGGCTCGTGTTCGGCTCGTTCGAAATAGCTCGTGTTCGAAATCGGCTCGTGAACAGTGTGTTCGTGTTCGGCTTGATTTAAATATTCGTGTTCGTGTTCTGCTCGGAAAAAATATATTGAAAAAAATAGATATAAAGTGTAGGATTCGAACCTGGACCAACTATATACAAAAGAATGCAGTGACTACATTACTACACGAGATGTTATAATTTAAATTTAGATATGAATACATATAATATATTATTATATAAATAATATATGTAATATATTATTATATTAATAATTATATATATTTTTAATTTCGAGCTAAAACGAGCAGAACACGAGCCGAACATTAAAAAAACTTGTTCGTGTTCGTCTTCTTTATAATTCGAACTTTAAAAATTTGTTCGTGTTCGGCTCGTCGAACACAAGCTGTTCGCCAACGAGCTTTTTTGACTGCCTTAATTACATTATAAATATTAAATATCACAATTTTATTAAAAATACACCGAGTGATTTTTAGCACATTTTTCAAAAATATATTATTTATTTTTTTGACAAAAATAATTTATATTTTTTAATAATTAAATCAACCGACTAAGCTCTTTATTAGCTCTTTTTTTTTTTAATTATTAGAACAAACTACGAGGCGGCGGGATCCATTGACCAACATACTATAATACCACCCATACCCAATCTTGTAAATTTACATATTTTCTAATACTATTTACATCACATAAAAATATTATTATTTTAAATTTTTAAAATAAAATACACATTTTCTCTTAAAAATTTATTTCAATCAGCACTCTCAACTTTTGAAATTTTGTTACAGGTGAAGGAGAGTAATAGAGATGATTAAAGATCTATCCATATATAGTAATCCTCCTGCAGATGTGTTAAGGATTTAAAAAAATCCTAATGAAAAGAAAAAGAACGAAAAAGAAAGAAAATGAGGAGAAAAATAAATATTAAGAGAAGAGAAATTTGAGGAGAAAGAGTAATAGAGATGATTAAAGGTCTATCCATATATAATAATCCTCCTGCAAATATGTTAAAGATTTAAAAAAATCCTAATGAAAAGAAAGAGAACGAAAAAGAAAGAAAATGAGGATAAAAATAAATATTAAGAGAAGAGAAATTTGAGGAGAAGCCTAATTAAAATTTGATTTTTACGTTATTTATACATGAAAATGTGTATTTTAAAAAATAAAATTCACATTTTCATGGTCTAAATAATGGCATATATATATATTATATATATATACAGAAAATGCGGTATTTATGTAAATTTTCATAAAAGGTACCAAAAAAACTTTAGAATCCAAACGTTTTACATGATTTATGAGACGCGTTAAGATGCCTGGTACCATACCGTCACCTTTGACCGAGTAAATCTGACTTCACCAACTTACAAAGCACCGAAATTTCACCGCGGAATCCCCATCTCCCACCAACACCAAACACTTTATATAACGTGCTTACCAAAATCCAAACGCTTCATTGGACTCTCACAAAAACTGAGACACAAAATGAGCTCCCTTTTCGGCCAAGCTTCCCTCTTCCTCCTCCTCTCTACTTTTCTATCCTTCTTCAACGCTGAGGCAAAGATTCATCATCTCAAATGGGAGATCAAATATGAGTATAAATCGCCGGACTGCTTCCGGAAACTCGCCATTACGATCAACGGCCTCACGCCGGGGCCGATGATCACCGCGACGCAGGGAGATACTCTCGTCGTCGATGTAACGAACACTCTCCTCACAGAGAACGCCGCCATTCATTGGCACGGGATTCGTCAGGTTAGTCGGTTGAGTGGATGGTGAAAACATTACGTGTGAATGGATTGATGGTATTGTGGAGAGATATTCACCTGAATATCATCGCAATATCATGAATCTGTACATACGAATACCGCGCATAATATCGAGAAGTAAATCTACTCATGTAATCTGCAGATTGGAACGCCATGGAGTGATGGCACAGAAGGCGTGACTCAGTGCCCGATTATGCCTGGAGATACCTTCACCTACAGATTTGTCGTCGACAGAGTAAGATTACTTCAAATGTCACTAACAAGTCTGTTTGGGACAGTTTTCTGTCTGCTTTATTTTTTTTTAACGAATACCTAGCGAATTATCAGGCCGGAACATACATGTACCATGCGCATTATGGGATGCAAAGATCAGCCGGATTACATGGATTAATCCGAGTTTTAGTTCCTCCAGGAACCGTGGAGCCATTCAAATATGATGATGAGCTCCATCTTGTTCTTAACGATTGGTGGCATAAGAGCACGTATGAGCAGACCGCTGGGCTCTCTTCTCCCAACTTTGAATGGGTTGGAGAGCCGCAGGTATATATGCAAATTTATTAATTGCATATATGTAAAGTTTGAATTTTTTTTTCATTTTTTAGCATTGAGAGTTGATAAAGTTGGGATCTTTATTATAAATTTGCAGTCTTTATTGATAAATGGGAGGGGGAAATTCAACTGCTCCTTGGCCGGCGGTGGGGATTCATGTAATTTGGCAAATTCTGAATGTTCGCCGGCGAGCTTGACGGTGGTTCAGGGAAGAACTTATCGCTTGAGGATTGCCAGCGTTGCTTCGCTTTCTGCATTTAATTTAGAAATTGAGGTATAAATTTTCGATTTTTTTTAATAGTTTTATTTTTACATATTAAATAAATATATATATATATATATATATATATAT